CTGTGAACCCATCTTGTCCCCCAATGAAGCTCAGCTCCTGCCTATGTGACACATGGCAGCCATTCTGCACCAGCAGCCCCACTGCTCTGCAGATCACAGTGGAGGACTGAGACACTGCTTCACCGTTTAAGGGGAAAGTTTAGGGAGACTAGACTGTATAAAGTAAGAGTGGAGTTGATCTGGGACACCTGGGTTACACCTCTTCTTTTACAAACAGTGCCAATGGATCTTGAATTGTTTTGGACCTCAGTTTAATGTCTCATCCAAAGGAAGGCACTTTCTACAGCCAAGTGTCCCTGGTCACTATAATGCTGTGTTGGTTTGGAAATTCTGATTCAGTGTAGTGCCCACCAGCACCACTTACAACAGCATCCTGGAATCTCCCATTCCAGTACTGACTGGGCCCATCTCGTCTTAGCTTCTCAAATCTGCTAAGATCAGATTCCACAGTGATGATGATGCTGCTGTCGTGCTTAGTTTGCCCTGTGTTTCATTGTTAGTTATTGGAGTCATTTAGAGGAGCAGTGCACTAATGCAGAATGTTTCCGACTATGTTGACATTGTTCTTTTCTTTGTTTTCATATGTTGTTTCTTAATCATTTGCCATAAAACCTGTTTCAGACTAACAGCCTCGTAACAGACAGTAATCCTTCTTTCATTTGAGCTATTTTCATTGTTCTGTTACGATCATAGGTTTGTTCATGCATATCTAAAGTACCCTTTTGAAGGAGCCTTTTGCAGTCCTTAATTAGCCAGTGCATCGTTTGTTTTTGTTTACAATCTCTGATTTTGTTTTACCTCCCAGTTTGGAATAGCTGATTATCATTCAACACAACTCACCCCTGTACCCCCAGACCACCAGACCAGGTGCATCCCCTGAACCGTGCTCTCACTGCTAACACCTCAATCTCACAGGTGCCTGACCAACATCAGGGTTTCCTAATGTACACTAAGGGCACTCTGGACATGATCTCCTGGGATCTTTTTGGTGAACCAGTTTTTATTTTAAAAATATTTAAATATACAGTGAAATAAGAACAAGGCAATAGCACAACAAAATCCCATGCTGACCGTAGGCAAGAATTAGGATCTGTTTGTCTTTGGATGTTGTGTTTTAGGATGCACCACGCTTGAAAGCCACTTTGGCAGCTCAGATGAAAGCTGTCCTCACTTGCTGTGATGCTGTTAGCCTGTCTGTCTGTCATAGACTGGTTTCTGTATGTCCCCATTTCCGTAAGAGTCTTTAAATTAGTCATCATCTGCATGATTTCCTTTTCCGCTGCTATTTCTTTCCCTGTAATGTTCTTGGACAGTGAAACCAGAGGAGTTTGGTCCTTTCCCAGCGTGTCATGTTCTGCTGGGCGGTGCCCTGCCTGCTAATTAGATGCTTGTATCCCTGGAAGATCTTGTGTCAAGCTTCTGGGTGAACAAGCGTCACGGGCATGTTGGAGCTGAATTGTCCACTGCGGGTTTCTCTCCGAATTGTTTTCTCCGCGGACTCGGGAGACGCGGAGCAATAAACACCGCCTTTTTGTTTTTCAGACCTTGGTGTTATGCCAGAAGAGGCTGACAAGTAAGTCATTATTTTCTTACTTTCTTTCTGGTAGTTTAGAAAGAGAGATGAGTGTTTTTTATACCTGTTTTCCCTTCCTATAAGAATTCCAAAATTGTTTTCATTTTTTGTTGTTGTATTAATACAAACGTCTCAAAGAATTCTTATCCTTGTTTTAAAACTGTAACAAA